ATTTTTTAAAAAATATATTTTCAAAAAAACCAACAATGCTCATAATTCTCTCAATGAAATATTTTCCCAGATTGAAAAAGTGCAAAGTTAAAATAATTACTTATCCAACCTCTAAATTTTGTTATTTACATCAGCTCATGATAATTTTTCAAAATAACCAACATTACTCATATATCTTTTTAAAAAATACCTCTCTTGATTGAAGTTGAGAAAAGTGAATGAACCCATGTATATTTTTTCACAAGAACTAATAGTCCTCATAATTCTCTCCAAAAATATTTTTCTGGATTGAAGTTGAGATAAGTAAAATGCAATTACTTAGCTAACATCTAAACTTTCATATGTACATCGACTAAAAATAATTTTTCAGGAATATATTCTCAAAAGAATCAACAATGTTTATAATTATCTCTAGAAAATAATTATTCAAACTAAAGTAGCTGTAAGTGAAACAAAATTGCTTGTCTAACATCAAAACTTTGATGTTTCATTTTGGCTCAAATTTTTTTTCTTAAAATAACCAACAGTGCCTGTATGTATAACCATAAATTAAATTTCCTGATTAAATAAGAGGAAAGTAAAAGGAAATAACTTATCTAATATCTAAACTTCATGCTCGCATCACCTCAAAGAAATTTCCCATCTATAATTTTTCAAAAGAACCAATAGTGATCATAGTTTTTATATGTAAACTTTCATATTTGCATAGGTTCAAGACAATTTTTCAAGTATAATTTTTTTAAAAGAACAAACAATGCTCATATATCTATCTATAAAATATTTTTTTTCTAATTAAAGAGGAGAAAAGTGAAATCAAATAACTTATCTATCTAACATCTAAAAATAATTTCTTAGGTATTTTTGGTCAGTATATGCTTATCTGAAAATTAGATGTTTCTATTAGCTTAAAATAATTTTTTAGGTATGTTTTAGAAAAAACCAAAGGTTCTCTTATTCTCACCATAAAATGCTTTTCTACATTTTTTTTTTCAATTCTCAAAAATGGGTCCTACCACGTTACAAATGACATCATATTATTGGAGTCAGGATGCAACAGACTCTGGATGCAATATTTTCTCCATAGTTTCAATCTTGTCTCATAATTTGCTCAAAATTTGATAACTGCTCAGGCTTTGAATATTTATTATTTTTGCATTCACATTTATTTTAAATTACATTACAAAAACAAAAAAGCATTGGTAGCACTTAATTAATGACACTTTTAAAATCCTTTGCCAAAATTATCTTAAAAAAACACATCCTAATTCTAGGTGTGTTTGGGGCGGTTGTTGCTTTTCTAAGAAGCAGGTGTGAAGCTGCTTCTCCAGCTTGGGGTAGCGGCTTCTCAGGTATTGTTAGAAAGTTGTTGGAAAAGTAAGAGTCTATTTGGATAATCTATTGCGTAGCAGTTGATAAAAATGACTATTTCCTCTTATATATGTAATATATCTGAATAACTACAATTTTCAAAATAATTACAACACAATAATAGAAACATGTCAAACAATTTAAAAAACATGTGAGGAGTCCAAAATTCTTCAATATATAAGATGTGATTAGTCATTTCTTGCATATATCCACAATAATAAGAATCATGAGTGCTCATAATACTCTCCATAAATAGTTTTCCAGATTTAAGCAGAGGGGAGTGAAATAAAATAGCTTATCTAACATCTAAACTTTAATATTTACATTGGCACAAATCAATTTTCTTAAAAATATATTTTCAAAAAAACCAACAATGTTCATAATTCCCTCAATGAAATATTTTCCCAGACCAACCTCTAAATTTTGTTACTTACATCAGCTCACGATAATTTTTCAAAATAACAACATTACTCATATCTTTTCAAAAATTACTTCCCTTGATTGAAGTTGAGGAAAGTGAATGAAATAACATATCTAACACTTAATATATTGTATATGTTGACTCAAATAATCTCCCATGTATATTTTTTCACAAGAACTAAAAGTCCTCATAATTCTCTCCAAAAATGTTTTTCTGGATTGAAGTCGAGATAAGTAAAATGTAATTACTTAGCTAAAATCTAAACTTTCATATTTACGTCGACTAAAAATAATTTTTCAGGAATATATTCTCAAAAGAATCAACAATGTTTATAATTATCTCTAGAAAATAATTATTCAAAATAAAGCAGCGGTAAGTGAAACAAAATTACTTGTCTAACATCAAAACTTTGATGTTTCACTTTGGCTCAAATTTTTTTTTTAAATAACCAACAGTGCTTGTATATATATCCATAAATTACTTTTCCTGATTAAATAAGAGGAAAGTAAAAAGACATAACTTATCTAATATCTAAACTTCATGCTAGCATCACCTCAAAGAAATTTCTCATCTATAATTTTTCAAAAGAACCAATAGTGATCATAGTTTTTATATGTAAACTTTCATATTTACATCGACTCAAGATAATTTTTCAAGTATAATTTTTTTTTTAAAGAACAAACAATGCTCATATATCTATCTATAAAATATTTTTTTCTAATTAAAGTGGAGAAAAATGAAATGAAATAACTTCTCTAACATCTAAAAATAATTTCTTAGGTATTTTTGGTCAGTATATATTTATCTGAAAATTAGATGTTTCTATGGGCTTAAAATAATTTCTTAGATATTTTTTAGAAAAAACCAAAGATTCTCATAATCTCACCCTAAAATGATTTTCCAGATTGAAGCAATGGCAATGAAATGCAATTACCCTATTACAATTTATCTAATGACTAAACTTTCATATATACGTCGGCTCAAAACAATCAAGAAAGCAAAAAAGAACAAGAGAAAATATAGTAAAACACAAATCATTAAATCACCAAGAGAAATTGAGAAGATAGCAAAAGAGAGTCCATCAAACCATCAAATCACTAAAAGGAAAGATGGTAAAATGCAAACCATTAAGGAGCTATAAATACAAAGATAGCCAAGAACAACGGATGGAGAGGAGAAGAGAGGAGGGATTTTGCCCAAAAGCCGAACAGGAATGGTTGGGGCCAATTAGCAGTGAAAACGGCACCCCAAACGCACTCTCTATCTTTCTCATCTTCCGCCAAATAACTTCTTTCTTCTGCCCTTCCTTCCCCCTAAAATCCCTAGCCTCTCTGCATCCCTCCCCGACCATCTTCTCTCAGGCTTTGAATATTTATTATTTTTTCATTCACATTTATTTTAAATTACATTAGTAAAATAAAAAAGCATTGGTAGCACTTAATTAACGACACTTTTAAAAACCTTTGCTAAAATTATCTTAAAAAAATGCATCCTAATTCTGGCTGTGTTTGGGGCGGTTGTTGTTTTTCTAAGAAGCAGGTGTGAAGCTGCTTCTGTTGCTTGGGGTAGTAGCTTCTCAGGTATTGTTAGAAAGTTGTTTGAAAAATAAGAGTCTATTTGGATAATCTATTGTGTAGCAGATGATAAAAATGACTCTTTCCTCTTATATATGTAATATATCTGAATAACAACAAATTTTAAAATAATTACAACACAATAATAGAAACATGTCTAACAATTTAAAAAACACGTGAGGAGTCCAAAATTCGTCAATATATAAGATGTGATTAGTCATTTCTTGCATATATCCACAATAATAAGAATCATGAGTGCTCATAATACTCTCCATAAATAGTTTTCCAGATTTAAGCAGAGGGGAGTGAAATAAAATAGCTTATCTAACATCAAAACTTTAATATTTACATTGGCACAAATCAATTTTTTAAAAAATATATTTTGAAAAAACCAACAATGCTCATAATTCTCTCAATGAAATATTTTCCCAGATTGAAAAAGTGCAAAGTTAAAATAATTACTTATCCAACCTCTAAATTTTGTTATTTACATCAGCTCATGATAATTTTTCAAAATAACCAACATTACTCATATATCTTTTTAAAAAATACCTCTCTTGATTGAAGTTGAGGGAAGTGAATGAAATAACATATCTAACATCTTAATATATTGTATACGTTGACTCAAATAATTTCCCATGTATATTTTTTCACAAGAACTAATAGTCCTCATAATTCTCCCCAAAAATATTTTTCCGGATTGAAGTCGAGATAAGTAAAATGCAATTACTTAGCTAACATCTAAACTTTCATATTTACATCGACTAAAAATAATTTTTCAGGAATATATTCTCAAAAGAATCAACAATGTTTATAATTATCTCTAGAAAATAATTATTCAAAATAAAGCAGCGGTAAGTGAAACAAAATTACTTGTCTAACATCAAAACTTTGATGTTTCACTTTGGCTCAAATTTTTTTTTTTAATAACCAACAGTGCCTGTATATATATCCATAAATTACTTTTCCTGATTAAATAAGAGGAAAGTAAAAAGACATAACTTATCTAATATCTAAACTTCATGCTAGCATCACTTCAAAGAAATTTCTCATCTATAATTTTTCAAAAGAACCAATAGTGATCATAGTTTTTATATGTAAACTTTCATATTTACATCGACTCAAGATAATTTTTCAAGTATAATTTTTTTTTTAAAGAACAAACAATGCTCATATATCTATCTATAAAATATTTTTTTCTAATTAAAGTGGAGAAAAATGAAATGAAATAACTTCTCTAACGTCTAAAAATAATTTCTTAGATATTTTTGGTCAGTATATATTTATCTGAAAATTAGATGTTTCTATGGGCTTAAAATAATTTCTTAGATATTTTTTAGAAAAAACCAAAGATTCTCATAATCTCACCCTAAAATGATTTTCCAGATTGAAGCAAGGGCAATGAAATGCAATTACCCTATTACAATTTATCTAATGACTAAACTTTCATATGTATGTCGGCTCAAAACAATCAAGAAAGCAAAAAAGAACAAGAGAAAATATAGTAAAACACAAATCATTAAATCACCAAGAGATAAATTGAGAAGATAGCAAAAGAGAGTCCATCAAACCATCAAATCACTAAAAGGAAAGATGGTAAAATGCAAACCATTAAGAAGGAGCTATAAATACAAAGATAGACAAGAACAACAGATGGAGAGGAGAAGAGAGCAGGGATTTTGCCCAAAAGCCGAACAGGAATAGTTGGGGCCAATTAGCAGTGAAAACGGCACCCCAAACGCACTCTCTATCTTTCTCATCTTCTGCCAAATAACTTCTTTCTTCTGCCCTTCCTTCCCCCTAAAATCCCTAGCCTCTCTGCATCCCTCCCCGACCATCTTCTGATTTTGCCCAGAATAAACCGTCATGTTGGTGACCAAACCCCCACGATACTGTCACGTTTAGAGCTAGCTGTGCAAGTACGAAACGACGGGATCGATCGTCGCTAACTGTGGGAAGGCAACGACTAGATTGCATTGGAACCCTCCTTTTGCTCCTTCAACTCTGCTCCTACCCGAAAGCTAGGTAAGTCTGTTTCCGCCATTATATTCCTCTTTTGATTTGGTGCAAAACCATAGATTGGTGACCGAACCCTCACGATAACAGCTGAAAAGCTGTCTTCTAAGTATTTTGGTTTGGATGGCGTTCTAGAACCTTTTTTTAATAAATTTCACTGTTCTATAAACATCTTCATTTTTTTAAAATAAATTGTACATTATTTATTGATTTTTAATATCAGTGTTTCAGTTATTTTGTCATTCCTATCAGTGACAACAGTTTTTTGCCAAACATACGTTTTTTTGGTGTGAAGGATTAAATAAAATCTATACTCTGAAATTCACCAACCAGAGAGTTTCTTACAGTATATTTCTTAATGTTCTTCATGCTGATCATTAAATCATCCTTAAAAGCAAATTTTAGGAGTTAGATGTGTAAATACAATGGAATTGGGTGGAATGTTTGTAAATACAGCAGTGTCAATAGTGACTGCAACATAGAGAAGTTGACAACATAGGGAAGCAATTCTAAAATTGTTCATGCAATCAAAACTACCCATAATATTATTAATGTTTTTTTTTGTGCCAAAAGAATTTTTATGGGCATTTAAATACATGCTATATAATTCTTTTGTATTTATACTTATTTTAAAGCCTTTCCAAATGCTTTATACTTGCTTAATGACTTTTACAAGCTTGAGTAATGCACTTCCAAAATAGTTCGTCTATTATCATAAGCCAAAGTTTTGAGAAGTTAGCTTATAGCATTTGTTAAAATAACGTCTGCTTATCATTATGTGATGCTATCTAACCTAAAAAAATAGGAAATAAATTTTTAAGAATACCCTGATTCAAATTTAGTAGGAATAGACTTTGAAGTTATCAAATTTGCTGTCCAATGAGTACAATATATGGCCGACCAGTTAAAATTTATAAGGTTTACTTTGATATTCTATGATTGACATAGTTGATTTTCCTATGATAGGTGTTATGAATATTATTAAGGAATAGAGAACAAGAGAGAGGAAGAGAGCAGAGAGCATGATAATGAACAATAATATTGTGTAACATTTATTTATGAAATGATCCTTTATTTAAAGGAATCAAGAATGTTTAATTACATTCTGTACCCCTAGAAAATAGGTACGATGAGGGCATTTTGGTCAGTTTATACTTATAGGGTCGTGAGTTTGAAATGACATTCGACCGGATGGGGCCCCCCGGAGCCTGGGATCACATTCGGTCGGATCTAGGGTCGAGCGCAGCGCCCACATGCCCAGAGTCTGAGGGGGTGACCAGCTGGGCCACTTCTCGGGTGGCTATGACAGAAGGGCAAACCGGAAGGCCCTCAACTGATTGCTTTAGATTTGGGCGATTATCATCGTTCGCCTAGCTTGGTTTAAGAATGTTTGTGGATTCGTCCGGGTGAGTTTTGCGCCAGTAGACTTTAAGGGAGACAGTCGAAATCTGCTTGTCTTTAGATTATTTTCCTTCTGGTCTGCAGATGCCAAATGGATAAGCAGGGCCCTTGAACTGTTTTTGGTGAGTCATGTTCAACCACATCATCATTTTTGTTGGCGGTCAGATCTCTTTAAGATTCGTGCTGACACATTTTTAATGTACATATTTAAGTCCCTCGATTCTCTTGCTCCTTGACAGCGAAAACTGTGATATGAACAAGGGAATCTTAATTTTCAAAAAGTTGTTGATATTCATGATTATTAAATGCATAATAATTGAATGTTTCTAGAATTCAATGCGGAGGCCCTTATAAATGGGGGAGAGTTGAAAAAAACATATCTTATCTTAGACTTTTTTGAGGGGGCCATCTTTTCTTATCTTTCTTTGGTGATCATGGAGAGCGGTCCCCTCTCAGTCAACCAATTTCGATGAGGATGCTCGAAAAATGGTTGTCCAGGTGATGGGAGAAGGCCTTTTCCAAGGCATGCGCCAAAATCTCTTGTGGTTGAGACATGATTCCTTGAAGCGGGTGACTAAGTAGGGTCATCCGACTCGATTTCTAACCACTTTGCAGAGAGGCCTCAAGTGAGGGAGGGCTGGTTCTCTATGAAGAAATATCAGATGTTTGGGATAACTCGTCTAGAGGGTAGACCTGCGGTGCTGGTAAATTCTGTCTAGGACCCCTTCTATGTTAAAGGAAGAGCATAAACGAGATTCTACAACTATGTAGATGCAGCCAGATGAATTAAGGGTGACAATTCTAGAGGCTGCCCATGATCCTTCGTCGTTGGATGCTCCTGGAGATGTTCCCCTTTCCCTATCGATGGAACAGGAGATTGGGAGGGAGCTTGCCCCTTTACCACTTTGGATCTGAATAAGATGATGAGCCCCCCATTTGGTGAGGGGACTGACACCCCACCCCCTGTAGAACATGGCGCTGGCTGGACTGCCGCTAATTTGGGGTCCACTAAGAGTTACAGACGCTCAAGAAGACTACTAGATGAGGCAGTGTTTGTCCTGTAGTTAACCTTGCTTAGGTGGCCTGCACGTTGGAGCTACCTAGCTCAACGAGACTTCTGCTTAATGAGGCTGAGGCTTCACCGATTTGGGAGGCGGATCGTGCTAGCTCTCGGGACAGACGACTGGACCAACTAGAGGACGAACTTGTTGCAGTGCGCGGGTGGGAGTCCATTCTCCAAGATGAAGTGGCGGCACTTTGGCTCATTGTGTTTGCGATCTGGGAGACGGTTTCGGTCTCTCAACTTCACTTTGAAATAAAAAGAGTAGATAAATTTTGTTTAGGAGGGTACTTAGTGTATCAGTGGTTATCTCAGCTTGGTTATGCTCCGATTGAATCAGCGATCGATGGTTTTATAAGGTACTTTCAATTTGAAATAGAAAGTGTAGATAAATTTAGGTTAAGAGGGTACTTAGTGTATTAGTGACTTTCTCAGCTTGGTTATGCTCTGGTTGAATTGGCGATCGATGGTTTTATAAGGTATATCATTTTCTGTTGATAAGTTGTAGCTGGCAAGATCCATATTGTAAATATAAATATTTTGCTTAAATAAAATTTTTAATTATTGTGTATTGTAATGTGTGTATTTCCCACAATTCAATGTGGCAAAAGACCCTTATGCTCTTGCATCGTTTTGACTTTTCGTGATGTACTATAAGTAGCATCGGTGAGCTCGAAAGAATCCTACTTCACTATCTTTTTCTTTTAGTGAACCTTTTTTCCCTTAATGTTCTATACTTTCTTCTTCCTTTTGCTCATTAGCCAAGGCTTCCAAATAATCCTCTGAGCTGTGACCCCTTCAGCATTGCGTCTGTAGTAACCACAAGATAAATAGAAGTCCTTCAAAGGTCATTTGTATTTGGGGATTAAGTAGTTTCTTGGCCGGCGGAGAAAGACGAGAGAGTGTTAGGCACGTTTGGGTACATTTTGGTCTTCAACGTAGACCAGTTGAAATTCATATTATGCCCTTCGCTTTGTCACAAGCTCCCATCAATTTTCAACCACTACGACATTATTCCGGCGCAGGTGACGCCAAACTCCTTGGAGATTATCATAACATTTGTTATCTTTCTCCGGCGACTGGAGCTTCCTTGGTCCATCGAGCTCTTTTTCTACATCTTTGGTTTTAATGTGGATAGGGGCAAATACACGAAATTTTCGGCTTCATAATTCGAGTAGTTGGAGTTGAGAGCAAGATTAAGGATTGGCGATTGAAGTTTGTGATTGCTTCAAACAAGAGAGGTTGAGGAATCTCCATCCAGCCTATTCTGCAGGACGTAAGTCAAAGGCCCTACTCGATTCTACTAGGCTTATGCTAAGATGATCGAGATTCTGGAGTTGTTCGTATTCTGGTATCTGAGAGTGATAGTAGTTAACAGGATTTTGTGGTCGAGCACTTTTGGCAACATTACTGAGGAGCTATAGAAAAATCAGACAAGAAGGAGACGGAGAGGAAAAAGGACATAATGGAAAGGATAATTGAAAGGAAGCCGAAGGTAAAGATTCCCCACGGGATGGGGAGTCCTTCCTCATGGTAGCAGAGACCATTGGGAGCTCACAAAATTGATAAAGTGATTTCTTATTTTTCCTGTATTCCTCCCTATCTTCTCTTTTTTTTTAAATTTTTCTTAACGAATTGCTTATGTGAGCAAATGTGAGGACATTAGGCGCTGGTAGGCTTTGCCCAAATCACCCAACTCTCAAGACTCGAGTTCCAGGGTAGAGGTGCCTCCGCTTGTCAAATTTGCATTAAAGAGGGAGTTGGGCCTCACTTTCATTGATCTCCGCAAAAACTCAGCAACACAACAATCTATAGTTGATGTGATTTTTTTATTTGGGTGAAGAGGTTCCTACAGATGAAGCCCGGGCACAGGGACTTTCATGCCGAAAGAGAAAGAAACCGGCCTGTGAGAGCTTTCTGCTACCCCCTCCTCTGTCATGGGGAGGAGGTTCTCCTCTGAGATGGATTAACCCGATAAGGAGAATAATGTGTGGGGAGTTTAGGCGGCCATTTAAACATGATGGATACCAAGAAGGAATGGTATGCCAACCTGTCGATGGGGGAGACTGTTTTTTATTCTTTTTAGAAAAACTTGAGTCAGTTTGTCTATATATATGTCGTCGTTCTATGATTCCCCTTTCCAAATAAGTCTCCCTCTCGGATTATATAGAATAATCCGAAGATGAGATGAATGAATCATAAAAGATATGATATACAACTAAAATAAACTAACAAAATTTAAAAAGAATCACAAAAGACTTATATACAAGTAATCCTCATGCATCAGGTCGAGAGTATACGTCTTAACAAGATTGGATCAAAATAACTCAAAACACGGTATCCACGAAGAATATTTCTATATAATCCACTCATAACCAAAGAACCGAAAATAATATTTTTGTTTTATGGTCAAGTGTACTCCCAAAGAAACGTATCCCCTTGGTTAATTATATTTTGAGGGATATCCAATAATATTATTGATAAAAAGAGTCTTGAACATTATTGTGATAAATGATAAATAGGTCACCAAAAGGATGGTCATTTTACA